CATATGCAGTCGTAAACCTCCGAGGCCGTAGGTGGTTCCACGTTCACCGTCCAGGGTTCTACTTCACCTGTGGGCTGCAGATGAGTGCCGGCTGGTGGCCAAGACATTTGTTGTTCAGAGTATTCAGCCCACCGATCAAGGCGTTCCTCCTTATTCGAGATGGTCGTTCCATTCTGGTGCTTGATGCTTTCACTCACAGGTGGTTTCCGGGGACCGGTCGCACGGATCAGCTGAAACAATCTCCGGGCATTACCTGCTTTCTGGGCCTCTTCCATTTCTTTGGCTTTCTGTGTTCACCATACTTCACGGTCGGATCGCAAACTCACTTTCACTTGACGTCTGATGGTTCTTCGCATCGGTTTATGCTCGGGACTGGCTGGGATATTTCTTCGAGATTCAAGTAGTGTTTGAACCCGACCTCGGAACGCTAAACGAATGAAAACAAGTGGTTATTAGATATCGGACACTGCCAATCACCTACGACTCGACAATCATCAGATTCATGATATGTAAAAATGAAGGTCTATGTCAGAAACTATACACCCATCCATTTGTATATTATAAAAACTGTATATGCTAACAATTCTGCATGGGAGAAAATGGGAAAGTGGAAACGTTTTATGGGGCGGATCAATTACATACCTATCAAAGGCTCTTTCGTAAGAATCTGATCCCATCTTAACATCTGCAGTCAGCCACTACGTAATGCTAATACGCAATACAGCCTAAAGACAGTGACCCCGCCTAAACATGACAACTGCAGTGAAGTCATATATGAGTATTCTGAGAACCCCTAAAAGACGGGAGTCTCATTTCTCTTACTTGAGAGACTAATGAATTCATTCATATACACATACACATACATGTATAAATGCCCATGTGTATATATGTATATAATGATATATATGCAGATATATGCATATATATATACATATATATCCATGCACACATACATATATGTATATAACTAAGACACATTAGTCAAAATAAACCCCAAGCCGAGCATAAAGTTGAGGGAAACTCGGGGACAGCGCCTACCCGATGAACCGGTCATAAGCTGTCGGATACTTTTTAGCAACCTTGTGCGTAGTTTACTTTATGAAAATATACTGCGATATCACGAATGCTGTACCAACTGAGGCAGATTGTGTGTAGCACATTTAGCTGAAGAACATCATAAACGGAGGATTCACTTGGTTCTTCCGTGACAACCAAATTGATTTGCAAATGAGTGTGTTTGTCGTACTCGACAGGTAATTTGAAGAATCTGAGTTCTTCAGTTTCCAGCTTTCGATGCACAGAGTCTTTTGACATGCACATTTGCTCGCTTGTAGGATGACACTCACTTGGCATAAGCCAGTTACGGTTGAGAAAGATAATTCACGGATTGCCACTTGGAGGTTACACGCTGGATTACTACCCAGAATCGATCTTTTCACCCCAAGCCCAAAAATGTTTTTAGAATCACGCAGTAATATATCAACTAATGAAACAGATATTTTCTTCTCTTGAGTGATTACAGTAGCTCCTTTGCAAACCCCGAAATAGTCAAACGATGAAAATTTATATACACCACAAGGCAAATGATGAATCGTGGAAGAGGCTTTAAAGCAAGACCTTCCACTTTCTTCGACGAATAGAGGCCGGTGGCCGAGACAATAAACCAAATTATCGGTGGGAAACGTTGTATGATGCTGTAAGAACTATCATGTCGCAACAACTGGGATTACGAGTCACGTTCAAGTCTAAACTTAAATGAGTGCGTGTAATCTGCGGTTCGTGTTCTCGGGGTGATAAACTAACATAACAAGAATCAAACAGTGGGTTTGTGGCCATACATACGTCAACTTGATTCAAACGACGAAAATACTCGTTGATGAATTTGTCTTGTACACGTTGCTGCATTGCTGAAGTACCAACTGTGTTGCGGAATACCAAGCCTACTAGATGCCTGATTGGGAACCCCGACCAAATCGGAAGGAAGATGCCTATATTGACACATGGTGCACCTTTAAGCAAGGTCGTCTGCCTACCACTGGTGTTCGAAGGCCGACAGATGTCAGCAAAAATAAATACGTGAACAAATTGAGCTCAGAATAAATGGGCCTGGCCAAGGGCTCATGTGTATTGTGCGAAAACTGAGACAAACCTCACATATTAAACGCGAATTTCATCCATCGTATGACATCACAGAGGCTTAAGAGAAGTGTGGATGTAGTTTTAAAAAGTCATGTATTGGATGAATAAGGCTAATACTTTCACAACTTTTCATTGGCCACCAGCGGTTGCAGCCCATGGATGTATGGAAGGGTTAATTTCGTGCCTTCCAGTGGAGCATGTATTATGAAAAACACCAGAAAATATAGTTAGGCACCGATTAATGAGTCGAATAATTCAGTACCCTCGGTTTCCTGTCACGTTTGATTTTTTTCTCGGTTCCTATCATTTTGGATTTGTACTGTTTTTACTGTTCTGTATGGTTCCGATAGCCAACGTGATTGTATCATCGAAATCGTGCTTTGAATTTGGTAGAAACAAACCTATTATTCAACCGCGTTTGATTATACTTACCTAAAGACTGTGAATAAATACGGAGCTTGTCCTCTTCGGTTTCAACTCTTCTGGATTGCGTCATATTCTCATTCGTCAACAGAAAATGCCGCTTGCCAAACCGCATCGTACACTGCAGTTATTACGTCATCCGTTTTCAACTACTCCTTATTGACAGTAGTATAAATTTCTTTCTTTCTAAGGCGCACACAGGCGACCTATCTCAAAGCCCTTTCCGGAGAATTGAGTTTCAACGGAACCAGCAACCACCACGTGAAGAGTGCTGGGAGGTTGTTGATTTAATCTTTTTCACTATAATGGGCGCTGCCCTAGTTGTAGAAGCTCGTACATCTTATATATCTCATAAGCCTCATCGGTATACTGGCCTGAATCGGAATTTTATTTAGGCACTTTCTACTTCCAGACTCTTACTCATACACGTAATCTGGTACTCGGCCCAGAAAATCGATCATATTACTTTCAACTTCTGGTGAAGTAAATCTGCCAGGAAGGTCAAATTCCTGGAAATAATCCCGGTGTACCGTCCATTACGTTGACACTGGAAATTCCGCACTGTGTTTCTGCCCTTATTTGTAACCCCCGCTCCACTTTTGTGTTTAAGACGTGTATATGAACTGACGTTTCCTTGTCCTTACCACTTCACTCATTTGGCCTTGAGGTCATCCAGCCATTTGTGTCCGACTTTACACGTGGGAGCTTGTTTGCTCATTTGGTTCGTATTTTTGTAGTCCAAGTGGATCCTCTGTTTTGGACGAGTATCAACTGTCGAGGTCTGTATAATTTGTGAATGTGTCCTACAATAATAGTGCCATATAGAAACTCAGCTCGGACTTTGTTGTACCTTCCCGGAGGTTCTAGTATTACGCGTCACTCGGAGATGCGGCTTGCCCGTAACACCCGGACTATTCGAAACCTACCGCCAAAATTGCAGTAGGAAGGCCGTCGAGCCTCTGGGCCAGAAACGTAATTCCCTTGTAATTTTCGCCGCTCCTTTGTTCGCAATAAAGCTGTTCTTATTTTCTGCTGGTGGGTTCGTTTCTCACACTAAGGTACTGGACCGGAGACAGCAGTTAGTCACAACAAAACCGAGGTTTACTCATGTAAGCCATTTGGCCTTCCAGATATTCCACACAAACTGCTGGAGACCTTACTCGTTTTTGTTTGACAGTAGTCTCGTCTTTCTAGGCAAACCCATTGGGGTATTCCGGAAGAAGTAAATGGCTGTTGTCAAAACGTGTAAAGTAAGATCCAGAAGATATGATGCGTTTATGGTGACATTACAGTAAGGTGATAACAGCTAGTGATATCAGTCAGTAAGGCCGACGGCTCTTGTAGTGGAACATTGGTAACAAATATCCGGAGACCATACATTTGGCAAAAACATGTGATTCGACACATTCCAACCTGGTTTGATCGCAGAAAGGTTTGAACTTTGTGTTTATCACGATACATTTTACCTCTTTTCTACATCGTTACCATATGGCGCTACCACAGTCATTCTGCATAGAAATATCTCATCTGAACTGAGGAATTCAGCTTTTCAATGAAGTCTTGAACACAAAAATCGTTTTGCTTATAAGGCTAGATTTTTGAACGCATTGATATGACAGTCTCATCTCGACCTGATATCCCTGATCATGATGCCTTCGCAAGCCGGTTTGAAATCGATTAGTCAGAGTTTAACTGTGATCTGAATTCCACTCAAGCGCGCTGACCACTTGTGTAGACCCGTCGTGAACGAGAGATCCAGCTGGATTTATTTTACATTCACGTCTAAACCGAATTTGTGTGCAATTCGGGTTCAATTAGAACACAGGGTTGGGGGAAACTTCGGGACTGTGCCTTCCTGATGAGACCCAAGGAGGACGGAACCTGTTGCCGGCGGTCAAAGGGTTCTCGGCAACCTTATGTACACTGTGTTGCGTCTATTATTGAGCAGTATTCACGATAGAGCTTCAGATATATCAGCTGCCGTTTCTTAACGTGTTCACTTGCCGACTGTTCAACCCCATATTGTCCACATTGGCCGAGAGAACAAGTGTTTTAATACTGACCGAACAATTGGTGAGAGCTACAGCACAGTTGTAGCACCCTTTCGCCGCCTAACTGCTATGCCAACAGAAGGAAGCATTAGAACTGGGACACTTCCAGTTTGCCCAAGTCTAGACAGAGGAAGTCGAGAGACAGAGTTCGGGTTCAAAGCACGGACCTTCCAGTCAGTAAATTTGCACTCTAACCACTGAGCCATCTCGCCCCCCAGAGGCTGGGCGAATACTCATACATCGAACAGGATGATTCCTTTGCGAGGCATACCGTCTAACCAGCTAAACATGAATTTTAGAGCAGGAAAAATTGTATTGTGGGTATTTTGGGTGTTCCATACTCGGAACTATGCAGTGTAAAAACGGCATATGAAGAAAACATCTCCATATAAATTCCCCATTCACAGGCCATCCGACTGCTAGGATTCAGTGGCACTATATGGATATGGAATGTGGCCGCTGTTATTTGTTTGAGTTCCACCTCATGCCACACCACCAGGGTCTATTCAGAAAGCAGTCTGCTACGCTATATCGCTAGCTTTTCATTAATTCATTCATATGCTCGTGTCCAGCATCATATGTTGGTGGTACGACATATCATTTGTCAAAGTGGATAGGTGAACTCATTCCACTCTTTCTGAATGGCAGGTGGGTTGTGCTACTGGTCACCTTCGGCCGAAGCTGCTCAGAAGCTAAACGCGCCTTCCGAGTCATACACCACCCTAAACCGGTGGAGAACAGCACTATTCTAATTGCTAAAAGGTACCTGAGTGTATAGGAATCCGATCGTGTAGCCGGCAACTCTGTATTTGAAAGAAACTGCTGCTGGCCAAAGAGATAATCTGTTCCCACGACTTGGAAAGATTATAAAACAATCTTTCTGATCCCGTGATTAATCGACTTGTGTGTATTTGTACTCTTTTATTCTTTTACTAGTGCACCTAAGCATACCCGTGATTTCAGTCTGGTACCGGTCAGCATTTTCCTAAGCTTAATGAGATTGTTCACATGCGATTGGAAGCTGAAGGTAACTCAGTTGTTAAGGTGCAAAATTACTCACAGGAAGGTGGTTCGAACCCAACCCGACAACTAGAATGCCTCTGTCTAGACTTTGACCAATTAGAAGTAATTCGGTCTTGGTGCTTTTTTCGGGGAGCATGGAAGCTAGACACTGAAAGGCGGATGAACGACTAGAGTTCATTTGATTCTTATCCATGAAGCCAGAACGGAGATGATTATCCAACGCCTTAGAAATTCCACCTTAACGGTGAAGCTGCTGACTCACGGATTTGGTCGCGCTTCATCATTCGATGGGTGAGGAGGGTGTAAGTGAGGTGTAAGTGAGTGAGCAAAGAGCTGCAAGAGTGAATAATACTTCCTGTTTGCCGAAGAAATCTTTGGTCGAGGTACATCACCTTGAGCCTTTGACTCGAAATTCTGCTCCGCAAGGCAGTAGGAGGTCGTAGGGTTTTGTTTGCAGACCCTACACTTGGCTTAGGACTCAAAAGTCAGAACCACGGGGAATCGGCTCTTAGGGTTTTCTTGGGGCCGGTGACTCAAATGTCTTGCACGATTGGCTACACGCTGCTGGCCTGTCCTAATGCGTCTGTGCACAACAGGTGCCTTTTGTGTAGCACTAAACTCCTTGGTTGTAAAAGGTATTCGACCGTAATGAATGATGCCCCGGCGGTCACGGTCAACCGTTGGACGATCGGAGTGTGCGACTTTTAGTTCCGACCTTTTCCAACTAGTCCTTCTGCGAGAAACAGCAGTACCATTGCTCCAACGAATTTAAACGTGCTGGTCGCCCGAAGGAAACGCCTCACTGCCCTCACACTCTTGTCGCAGAGAACAATACGACTTTACCTCTAGACCGCCCTGTAATACGATTTACCTTGGCATGGGGACTCGCTGTTCTTCATCCGGCTGATCACCGCTGGCCTTTCTGGTAGGGTTGAACCTTGCGGAATTGAGTTCAAGCCAGTGAAGTCAACTGGATCACTGCAGCGCTGAAGCATGACCTTGATGTTAAGGTGACAGCTTTAGGTCGGGCGAAGACAGTGACGATATCATATCACTTGTTTCGCACTCAGCGATATTCACTGCAATCCTGTGGTCAGATAATTGTAATTGCGTTGAGAACATTATTGGATTTAAGCGTGACAGAAAGACTTTCATGCATGCTTCATGAAAGGGACATGGTTTGCGGGAGCATGGTTATAGTACACATACTTCTAGCGAAGTGTTGCATATCCCTCTTAAAGTACCACTGAGGAAAGCGGATTTAGGTCTCAAAGTTCGATTTCACTGAAGTGTGGCCAGGGAAAAGTAGTCACCAATGGCAAAAATGAAATGAAATAGAGACAGGTGGAACCGCATAAAAATTACCAACCTTAGAAGGGCATTATACACGCTCAGCTGCTCCGAGAAACCATATACGTGACCATATGTCATGGTTTCCCTGATAGAAGGATGAGGGTGCTACATCCTGTCTAAATGAAAGCTAATCACATATGATAAGCTGGTGGTGATCAGACGATTGAATGCTCAACCAGTGGTCGGAAGGTCGTGAGTTTGAAACCATTTGAGTTCCGTGATATACGCATAGATGAATATTCCAAACAAGGACGAAACAGCTGCACAGTGCTCCTTGGTTTTACACCATGGATTGGCTTTCCTGACAAGACGGAATCGTTATTGATTATTACCAAATCTCCTCACATCACTATGAAGCCATATCAGTTTACCTGTGTCCGATTTAATCATATGCTTTTCAGGCAAATCGAACAGGTGTGGAGGTTACGATTCGTGAACTTTGTTTAGCGGGCATCACAAGCACCGTTGCATGTTTTTCGGTGATTCTAGAAGAAAATCCTACTTGAATGATCTGGAAGTAGGAGTTGTAACCCTACTGTGTCACTATTCAGACTGTTCTTCTAAACAGTGTTCATGAAAGAGGTCATCAGACTGGCAGGTAGCAGTAGCTTCGGATTCTGTTAAGTTGAGTAAGTACGCTGTAGATTCCAGTCCATAAGATTATAAGCCTAGATATTAGCCAAAATTCGCGAAAAATAGCAAGCATTGATGGTTCAATAACCAGCGCTTTCGCGGTTCTAGAAGAATGGCTGCCCTAACTGGGTTAACGACAGTGGTACGAAAAACAGAGGATCAGCTTAATCCTAAAGTTTAGCCAGGATTATGAGGTGAGATGTTACTCGTTCGTCGCCAGTTTCGTAAGCAAGCACAACCACCACAGAAATGATTTTTAACTTATTTGACTTTGCTCAGCTTACTAAAACATTAAAACAACTGTCATAAGGTGTTTGCCGTTTCTCCATCTCTCTGCGATCAACTTCGGTTGACTTAATGTCGTGGCTTGAACACACGGGAACAGAGATGAATCAGCTCTGTGAATCAGCGGTATGAATTGAATTTCGGTACTTACAGTAAAGCAGCTATTTCATCTTCAAAATGATGAGCACATAGAATAGATCAGTGTGACCTAACCTTCCTCCTCGTTCGACGGACGAAACAAATGAGCATGAAGTATGTATTCGTTCCAGGTGTGAAATCGAGTTGCAGTCATTCCCAGAATACGGTGATGCACCGTGATTGGATTCAGTATGAAAGCATGAAGCTGACAGTGATTTATGAGTTAGATTTATAATGAAAAATCACAATAAAATGAGTAGAGCTGATAGTAACATGAGGGATTTGGTAATTTCCGTCTTGTTCTGAGTGAAGTCAGTCTAATGTATGCTGATATGCCGGCGAGAAATACTGAACAGCTGTTTCATCCTTATTGGGAATCTGCATGTGGCTGAAATTCCACTTGGAATTCTGAACCGAATCGGCAATCTCCCGACTAGTAGTTTGAATACTTGACTGTTCGGCTACAGACGCATTCGCACCTCGACAGGACACATCGCCGCTCATCCTTCAATCAAGGAATCCGCATCACGTGGTCACACGTGAAGGCTGGCTCCTCAAAGGCTGACTTCCCCTATGAAAGACTCATTCATCGTGTGAATTATTTTGAAATTTGAAGGAATATTTTACAATAGTTCTCAGGTGAACCCTTCACCTGAGAAGTCATTATTCGAGGAGCCAGTCGACACACTTCCAAGTGATTTGAATTCCGTGAACAAATAGTAAATGGCGCCATGCCTTGTCTATGTACGAGTTACTCAGACTGCTGGTCAGCCGGTCGTACCCGAACGGCCAAAGGTCAAATTGCGTATTAGAGAGGCTCAGATCTATCTGCGTTTCGAGGACTGTACACTGCTGATGATTCTCATTAAGGATGAAACAGCTGTATAGTGCTTCCCACCACACTGGCATTTACAGAAGGAAATCTCAGTTTAAACGAATAAGGATTTGTACAGAAATTTTTCGGAACATTCTAACTAACAGCTTCAGTGAACCTCCGTTTCCATTTTATTATGTTACGGTATGTATCATTTTGAATAATAGACAGTGGTCTTTCCCATTGGTGGGACATTGATTCGGATCATGGCAATGAATCGAACGATTAGTGGAATCACTGGTACCAGATGGGCTAATACCGGTGTATCGGCTGAACCTCACAAAGGTACATGTAGCCCCGTTTAATTTCAGATAAGATGGTGTACTTGGTGATCACCACTGACCATGGCGTCAAAAAGATATCAGGTCATAGGTCATAGACAAAGTTTGTGCTGCTTCTGTGCAACCAGCCTCTCACCGTGCTTAAAAAAAGGTTCCCAAAAGTTCTCTAGTTTCCACCGTGACTGCCTCCGCTAATTGGATTCAGCCAGATTTACGGAAGACCTACGAAAATTAGCACGCTTTGTCAACGTGGTTTAGATCAGGTGACAGCCCACACCAATATAGTCCTCACCTGTCGTATATGATGACAACGACTATTGTTGTGCCATGTCGAACTATCATGATAAAAGCCCGTATGGCTGTGCCACCTTGATTTACACCCAGTCACGCTGCTTTGGCCTCCTGAAACCTATGGAATCGGACCGCATTCCGAAACAATAGCTTTAGGGCTATTTGAGTATGCCTAGTGATAGATAGAATGAAAACCGTGGGAGAGTAGGATGCTGCGATGAGTTCGAGCCTGACTTCTAACCATGGGGAAATCCAGCTGCGGATACTGACTCCCGGTCAGAGGTCATGCACATGTTCCGTGACTCGTTCAGTTTCGACGCTCGAACAAAAACGAATCATGACAAACGTAAGCACACCGGTTAACTCATTGAGTCATGGACGCATCTGCGTGGGCATAATCGGAACTTCTTGACGCCAGGACACTCATGCAGTGCTAGTAGCCAAACACTGACGATTAAGCTTAGGTGAGATTGATCCAATCGCTAACACCCGTTTGCCCATTAAAACGACATGATTATCGAGGGATTATGACCACTTGATATTGGTACTGAAATGAAACGTAAAGTTATGTGCGAATGCCCTCAGTACTTCACTGTTTAATGCAGCGCAATACCGCTATACCAAGGTTGACAGATCGTGAATTCCCACCTATTTTAGTCCTCCAGGTATGTATAGAATTTACAGGTTAACGGTGACTGGCACGTCCACATACATGCGCAGGCATCAAGTCGTCCGACCGAGCCCATATGTACTGAATACTGTTCAGCCAAAAATAATTCTTGATAATCATCATAATTGTAACCACGTCACTTTCACCACCAACACCAGCATCATTTGCTTGCCTCAAACACACACAGGCTTCAAGTAGCGTATTGAACACAACGTGATCTCCGTCTTCAATGTTTGAGTTCGAAATTAGTGTCACTGATAAAAAACCCCTAGGTAATTTAAACCTTCCAAAACATTTCTTCATACTTGCAAGTAGAAATGGGAGCTGTTTTCTAGAGTTCAACCATATGCCAAGCTTGATGCAGTCAAACTAGACTGTTGTACTCACAAACCAATGCAAGCTCTTGTTTCTATCAAGTTACAGCAAATGATCCCAGCAAGCTCTTGTTAACCTAGGCATAGAATGCTGTTTCTATCAAGTTACAGCAAATGATCCCCCTTTCCAGTCTCTTCTGTCCAACTTCCCTTGACTGCGCACTCCATCTGATTGAGACACCGATGTTCCGTACCACGCCCAATACCTCAAACTTCTTCATGTGTCTGAATGACAGTGGAATCGGCCTTTGTGATCTTCCTCACCATCAATATTGTTGTCTGTCAGCTCAGCTGGAGTCATTCGTTTTTTGAATAGTGAGGTAGAATCGATGGCTTCTTTAAGCACACACCAGCTGGATAAGCTATTGTGTGTATAGAAATGGGTGGAACGACGGTGAACTCTGATGACCGGATTTTTTCCTCTTAAAGTCTGTTCGTCCCTTCTGGAATGTAGAAGGTGGAGATTTGATCGACTGGCAACTGTAGACTGCAGCCGATGAGAATGCGTGCACGCACATACGCACGTACACACACACACACACGGGAAGAATTACAGACTGGTGTCCTTGTGGAACAATTTAGAGGGGAACTCGTGTGTCACGTTTGCCGCCAGCATGACGTTACATCAGCCTGTCTTCTGCGTTACACTATCCTGCGCTACCCGAGTGCCTGCATGCCGTCCTAGCATCGATCGATGTGGCAAAAACGTTCGATCGACCGTACAAAACACACTCCTCAAGTTTGGATACAACAGTGGAAATCGTGGGCTGGATAAGTACACACGCGCACAAACACATTCATGTGAGGTTGTGCGCCTTTGAGTAGGTGCACACATGAGCGGGAATGTGTGCTCTAAATCGGAATGGGCAAATTCTGAGCGTGCCAGTGTCTGTGTGTGTCCCTTCTGCCTCTTCCTCTCCCACAGCCCTTCCCTTCCTCCAACAGCGCTATCCCTCTTTCCAATGTGCGTGCACCATTTATGCAGGTGCCCAATGAGTGCGTCGTGGCTTGTATGCCTGCTTCCAGCGTTCTCTTTTACCCTCTACAATTCGATCGATTGACTAGGTGTTCCGGTGCACTGTCATAGGGACAGGAGCGTGCTCATACGGTGTTTATCCCCAAATTATCTGTCTCCTTGTGTCTACCATTCTATTCCGCAAACAGTTGAGTTAGTGAAGATCACGGACCTCATTTTAGGTCAAACAGGGCGGGTCTGAAATTCATGAAGTCCGTCAGATAATATAGCTGCTTCTCACATCCGAGGGAGCACATACATCAGAACAGACAAATGACTTCCAGAAGGAAACAGTCCAAACCGATGAGAAGTGAGTTATACCAAAACCGTCCTTTTGCTACCGTTATTTCACCTATAACCTCAACATTTGCTATGTCTAAGAGCTTTGGCATGGATTAGTTAAGTTTACTACTTAGGAGTAGTACACTTGTCACAATAGAATTTTGGCGAAAAACCATTCCACGGTCCCTCTTTTGACCAGGTCGGAAAGTGTCCTCAGCCCGGTGATGTTTAGGTATCTTTCTGGGAAATAGCGATGAACCATCGGAGGTTAATGTGCAATGTGTTTTCGTCATTTCATTCACTGTTACCCGGTAGACGTTTCCAACTAAGTCCAATGATCGTAAACAAAGTTCACCGAGGAAGCCGGTGACTAGTTATCCTTAGGACGTATCCTAGCCGCCATCATCGTCGACACCGCGTTGGCGGTTCAGTCACGAGATAAGAGGGTCCTCAACCGGAAATTGCTAACCGACATCTTCCTCATTTTACGCTGCTTCAACAACACACCTGAATGCTTTTTCGTTAGCAATCGGTATCCAGCTATCAACGCTCATATTCCAGGCGTTGTGCATACGTTTGTCAGAAAGAAACTCACACCTAGCGGGTGCCACAGTGGAGTGGATTCTAAAAACGGCACTTGAGATCCGTGATCGATTATTACACCTTTGAAATTGGTGTACTCACTTCGCAAGCACCTCGTTTGTTTATCTGTCAGCAGAGAGCTACGGATCTAGATTGGGCTCCTTTATCAGTACTTTACCTTTTCGTCAGGTAAAATTCGATATAAAAGGATGAATGTGACAGTCGTCAATTTGCCGATGACATTCTGTGCCCCATTCGCATAAACTTCTCGTGTAATCCGTGTATTCCTGATCTCGAAGTGAACCACTTAACAGCAGCCCAGAGCCGCCATATCTCGAACTATCAGTCATCTTCCTGAGTGTGTCATCCATACCAAGTTTGAAATAAAAAAAAAACTGAGGTGATCGGCGCTCAAAACGGATTCTACACAAAATGGCTAACCGCCTGGATAGCTTGAACACGCCTAATGTCAACAACATTTGGAGAAACTCTGATTTCCGTGAGACAATTCCATTCTGTTGATGGCGTAAAAAGCACTCGTGCTGTCAGGGAAGACAAGCAGAGTAGTCCTTCTCTCATTGCAATGTGGCTGTGGTAAAGATCTTGAGCTTGACTTGGGATAAATGCAACCTGGAACAGACATTTTCTGGTCAGATTCATTGAGTCCTTGACTTGGTAGTAAGGGGTGTTAGAAATCTTAGAAGCATGTTTGATGAAGATGATCGCATGGCAACCGCCTTATAAGTGGGGGCAGTGTTAGTACTACTCCAGTTTATTAAACATACCACAAAATCAAACATCTTCCTGTCAGACAGATGACTGGAAATTGCAGAGCACGTCAAAATGTTGTCCGAAAGTCTGGTGGTATTTCCATATAATTTAAACCATTCAACTTTGGACTGAGGTTCAGTTCAAAAAGGATCAATTGCTGTGGATTTTTCAGGGACTTGGAAGGTGATAAATATGAATTTGGAGTTGTAAAGCCCTAGACAGTCAAGAAGCAGCTCTCATTTGTTTAATTCTCATAAGGAGTTGTCAGAAAATTGCGAATAGCCTCCAAACTACAGGCTTTTTGGCATGAGAGTTTGAGTAGCATAAAACATTTGAAGATGGATTACCACTAAATTGATAATATGGCACATAGATAGCCTCGCTGACTACGTACAGTTTAGTAGATTGATAGACAAAAAAAACAAAACGAGCCGTTCAGCTGTAAAATCCTTTCGGTGCCTAGCTGCCATACCAGCCGCATGAAGCACGAGGGCTGGGGTACTGCCAGGCTGCCCAAGCCTAGACAGGAGAAGTCGAGATGCAGATGCCGGGCCGGGTTCGCGGACCTTCCGGTCAGTAAGTTCGCTCTCTAACACCATCTCGCCTTGTTGTGGAAACGGTCTCGAATATGAATTCAGACTAGACTGAGAGAGAGGCTCTCCGAAAACCTTATTCACTGGTGCTGGACTTGAAAAAAGAAGAACTGCAATTATCACCCAACTGGTTCGAGGGTGGTCAAGTTACGACATATCAGTCGCAATTTCTTTGATAGTCTGTTAACTCAGTCATTCCTGTGAACTACACAGCCTCTTTTGGTGGACCGGAATCCATATCTAGAAAAAAAAACACTTTCGGCGCCTAACTGCCATGCTACCCCGAGGAAGCACGAGGGCTGGGATACTGCCAGTTTGTCTAGACAGTGGAAGTCAGAGGGTAGAGGTCGGGTTCGAACAACGGACCTTTAGGTCAGTAGATTCGCACTCTAACCACTTGAGCCCACTTACTTGGTGCTGACATGTCAACAATGATGTGGGGATATAGATAAACCTGATTGAGTGGTGAAGAGATAGTTAAACTGCCAGTTTTGTTGAAGATTACACTTAGTGCGGATCCATTTAAAACAAAAGGCGGGACATGAATACTGGCTGTTGATCTGTTTGCTGAGCTTGCTAACTGGACTGCCAGCATTTCGTCACCATCCGAGGAGATGTCATCGGTGCATGGTCGGTTGGGTGATTCCTTTGCTTAACTTTATACAGTTTCTAGAGCGTAGTTAATTTATACAATGTAATTGGCTGTTTGGGGATTGTCTTGCCTTTAGTTTGGCTGGTCATTTTGGGATTCGATTTACCACTCAAACTAGACACATCTCCAAAATGAATCCCTCAAGTCTTTCTTTGTCAAGCGACTCACCATCGCAGGCGATGAAACAAGCTTACTATGTAACAACGGTGTTTGAAACAGTTCCATGTCGCGAATACCTATCGAACAGCGATCAACTCCGTCCTTCGTGTTTGTCAAACCTCTACGAAATTAGTAAATTTACTACTTTGAATTTAACATGTATTCTGGTTAGGAGGACGGTTACTAATTCTATTGGGCACTCCGTCCCATGTGCCGTGCACGAAACAAGTCAATATGCCAAGTCACGTGCAAAGTTTTGTAGTTTTCTATCTCTGCTTCCCTGGATGGCACGTGATTTATTCTTTTCTATCTTCGGCCATTAAAATTCAAACTCAGAGTAGAAACAACCTGAATAAATTTACACCCCAACCGTTTCATTTGTCTGACGGGCAGACTAACAGGCGGTCCAAAGTTTGGTGAGCAAAGAGGCCTACTTAGTATTAGGAGTATCATAGTCTGTTGGCTCAAATGTCACACCCAAAACTCTGATTGAAGTGACGTTCGTGTGGATTATCCAGTGAAGTAGACTCTCTTAGTGGTTCGCACATGAAGCTGTTCAACGGATATGATTATCCACACTCATCCTGATTTCTGATCACTTAGTCATAAAGTCCACTTCTTAGAGCGGGAGTTTCTAGTGGGCTCAGCCTGAAGTTCCAAAGCTGTGGTATCTAAAAACGAGAAGACGGAATCTGCACACGTAGTGATATACCTAAAAAATATCGTAAACGGAAAACGGGTGACCACACAGCTAGATTTAAATCATCATCAGCGGCAGAAATAGCGATGGCATATTGGCATGACAAAAGTCTGGCGTGATTACATCTAACCTGATGTTTCCTGAATCGATCGATCGCAGAACGAAATTACAGTACATTTCAGGCTGTTAATAGGGTGAGTCAAAGTAATGGCAAATACTGGGAGGTAGGGCCAACTAATGCGTATATGCAATGTGATTTAATGGGTAGGCTTTTGGTTGGGTTTTTACGACAGTACTAGTCGAAAAGACAGAATTCACGCATGTCCTATGCTGAAGCTGATTGGTTTTGGGGGTTAAATTGTGAATTTCGTATGTGTACATAGACCCGGTTGAATCCCGTTCTATTCATCTGGTGATTCCATCTAAGAAAAATGCTAAGTGGACCATCCTTAGGTGCGACAACTTCTGACCACTACTCAACACAGTCGTTTTATACTGCTGATCATACTTCATGTTTGCGACTTGCCTGTGTGTATACTGTTTGAACGAAAACATCCTCGACTGATGCATATTCATGATCTTTGTCTATTGGTCACCGGTGAGCAGGTGGGATGAAAATGGAAATGTTGAATGACACAAACTGCATCCGTCTACCACCAGCTTCCGGCTTGCTACTGACGCACAGGTCTACTGAAATCCAACCAATCAGATCGATGTGAGGTTGTGAAGTATTCTTATTATTTGTGATAAACAAAATCTGCGAACAAAACCATTCAGCCTCTTCCATGTATGCGACACCGGAGTGAAAACATGTGCGGAACGGAGGAGAGAATTCTACAGTTACTGGCCCATTTGATTCTGCCAGCAATGGGGGAAGGGGACATTCACGCGCTTCTGACCAAATGGCCAACCCGCTCTCTCGTTCGCGTTCGCACACAAACGTATCTAGGTCAGGCACACAGTCTCCGGCAGCTATCCCAATTTATGCCGATGAGGACTGTCTGCCCGTTAAAACGGAGCTAACGAAGTCCATTTGTCACTTGAGCCGACATAAATTCTCAGTTACAGCATATGGTACTATCAAACAGGGATTTACATTTGAATTTGAAAATTGCAGGAATTGAGGATCTAAACTAATGCTATATATATATATATATATGTATATAGACAGTGAGATAGATAGATAGATAGATAGATAGATAGATAGATAGATAGATAGATAGATAGATAGATAGATAGATAGATAGATAGATAGATAGATAGATAGATAGATAGATAGATAGATAGATAGATAGATAGATAGATAGATAGATAGATAGATAGATAGATAGATAGATAGATAGATAGATAGATAGATAGATAGATAGATAGATAGATAGATAGATAGATAGATAGATAGATAGATAGATAGATAGATAGATAGATAGATAGATAGATAGATAGATAGATAGATAGATAGATAGATAGATAGATAGATAGATAGATAGATAGATAGATAGATAGATAGATAGATAGATAGATAGATAGATAGATAGATAGATAGATAGATAGATAGATAGATAGATAGATAGATAGATAGATAGATAGATAGATAGATAGATAGATAGATAGATAGATAGATAGATAGATAGATAGATAGATAGATAGATAGATAGATAGATAGATAGATAGATAGATAGATAGATAGATAGATAGATAGATAGATAGATAGATAGATAGATAGATAGATAGATAGATAGATAGATAGATAGATAGATAGATAGATAGATAGATAGATAGATAGATAGATAGATAGATAGATAGATAGATAGATAGATAGATAGATAGATAGATAGATAGATAGATAGATAGATAGATAGATAGATAGATAGATAGATAGATAGATAGATAGATAGATAGATAGATAGATAGATAGATAGATAGATAGATAGATAGATAGATAGATAGATAGATAGATAGATAGATAGATAGATAGATAGATAGATAGATAGATAGATAGATAGATAGATAGATAGATAGATAGATAGATAGATAGATAGGTAGGTAGGTAGATTAGATAGGTAGATAGATAGACACCAGGTGGTTTGAAGAGATTTTTATTTGGAACTAGTCAGTATTATGGGAAGGATCGACATCTGTCCGCATTGTTGTTATACTCTGACTTTTGAGAGGACCCATCTGAATTAGATGCTATGGATATTCAATAATTGTCTTTTTGTGACCAAACTACGTTAGTACGACCTACTGGACCTCTTTACTGAAAACAACCCTGTGTTATCTGACTGGGCGATTCACGCAAACGCCATCAACATCCATGGAAACGATAATTTATCGCGAATTTGCATTTTAATAGCACAGTGGAAACGGCGATAGTTACTAGGTGCTTCATAAAGAGTTAGTTAGCTGGTGTCCTCAACAATATTCCAGCCTCACTGTTTTCAACCGATGCTACTCACATAATTGGTGTTGGGTACGTGCCCAGACAAGATTATTGTAGCCACAGCCGTCTATCTAGAGAACTAACTAGCATGCTTGCATTCGTTGTTTTGACCAGGTACACAGTGGTATTTCCATTTGGGGAACTGGACAGCCTGTCTTCTCCGACTATGAATAGTTTATTCCCTTGAGGGAGACCGCATGCCGAATAATATGTACGGTTAAAACTGCTACCCGGACGATGGTCTTTCCTGTTGTAACTATTTCCACAAAGGACAGTAAGGAGTGAGATATACTGAGAAAGGCCGGAGGACAGAAAATTGACTGTTGACGACGCCTGAGCTGGCACTGTATGACTGCAACTAAAACTGCGGCATTTCGACTCACTACTAGGGAAATGCCAGTAGTATCTGAGACAGATTCTGAAGTCCGAAGGCAGTATGGTTCTCCATATGTGGCAGCAAGCCGATGCTCGTAACCTTCTATAAGAGCGACATTTTAGTCTAAATTATAACTGCAAATCTTGAGAGAACTAGTCCTTTTCCTTTTTATTGTTACTTATGTTCGATTTACATCCATGTTAAACGGGGTACCACTTGATGTAGGCCTCGTTCTATAAGTGGACCAACTTTATGCTAAAGAGTCGAGAGGAATTGTTCACTGTGCTGATCGGCCGCTCATTGCTGAATGCTTAAGCAGCAAACCTCTAGCCAACAGGTTCGAGACTTTCTGAGAGTTCATGAGGAGCACACCGTTGATGTTTTTAATAGGAATGAAAGAGCTGTACAGTGTTTGTCGGCTTTTCACCTGAGTAGACCTAACCTAAAAGACGAAATTCCCATTAGAAATTCCAAAATATCCTCACATCACCAATGAAGTATCTCTTACATTGATGTTCGAAGCACCCTCCTTCCTCTGCTCACCAGGTTAATCTGACTACGTTTAGGATGTGCGTCCACAGTTTAAAACAGGTGAAACAAAGTTAGCATAAGGATGAATTGCTTCAAATTATGTAACACACCACTGATAATGTTGCTGAAAGCTCTTCGGCAGCTTCGAAGTTCCTGGGGCTCATCATTAGGAGTCGAGGTTCTAACTATCGAACAATTTCCGAAGAGCTGATATACTGCTTATACTCGGATAAGTGTAGGGTCTAGTTATCCAAATCGGAGATCACGCGATCGCACCGTAACTGCAAAACAGGTAACGACACCGTTGCAGGAATGTTTGTTTGAATAAAAACAGTTTGTCGTATTTGACCCGGCCTCGGCGCGTGAGAAAAAACAACGTCAGTTCTCACATCTGCCGTGACAGTGGCACCGCAGATGAAAGTTGAGATGAGTTGTGGTCAACGGAGCAGCAATCTGCGTGAGAAATGTGCCACAATTGTCACTGAGAATGAGACGAAGAAAGACTCTGCGTCAG